GACATGTACAGATGGGATAGATTGTTTGTCGATTTTTACTCACCTCCCCCGCCATAAAGCCGTCTGCGAGCGGCGGTGCCCGGCTCGTAAAATGTACGAGCCGAGCTGACAGCGGCACAACGGGCGCTTAAGTGCAAACAAACTTTCTCACAAGTAATTCGCCCGATATTCGGGCCAAAACGGAAGTTCATTCAGGTTCGAAACTCGTCGGCCTCTTTTGCGACGAGGCAGCCGACGTGGAAAACAATGCCCTTTGTTTTCATCAATTAAGACGATTTTCTACATGCTCGGTTATAAAGAGAAAATCCTTTTCCTTGAAATAAAAATGGCGAATACGAGTAGCGCAATTAGTTTTCTAACGAAATTATATACACTGATTATGAGGGAAAAAAGTGTCGAATCAAGAAAATATTTCTTGATTCAACTATATGCCGCGGTCACGGGCTGTCAAACAAATATTTGATAATTCACATAAACGTTTGTTATAATTAAGAAAAATATATTTAAACAAATTATATATGTTTAATTGAAAAACGTACATATTTGAATTAAAGAAATACTGTCAACTAAACATATTTAGTAATAATTTTTTTTTCTTAGTATAGTTTCCAAATATTTTGACACTATTCCAAAGACGGAATTGTAAGAAATGACATGCAAACGTCAATTTGTACACTGAAGTATTGTAATAAGTTTTTATCAATAGTGACACACACATGAATATTTGAATGTATTTTATTACGACAAATAGTTATTTCAATTAGGGTAACGATAATTTGTAAAAATAATTTCATAAAATATTAAACATATATGTATGTATATTGGAAAACAAATTGAAGTTAAATAATTATAATTCAAATTGAAAAGAATGGCAGGAAAGAGATATTAGAAGAACGTAATGTGATTATAATAAATTATATTCAGCAATTAGAAATAAATGTTATACGTTTTCGTTAATATTTCTGTGCATTTATAGTCATATTCAAGCTTTCATCCGCAAAAAGACGAATGAAAAATGCAGTAAAGTCTGAAGTCGTCACGGATTTATCTTATCTTCATTTATTCAGTTACATGCTGTTTAAACTGTAGTGCACAGATGGTTCCCGTCAAACAAAGATTTTTTTTTCTTTCACAGAGGATTAAGATTGCATAGTGGACATTGTCAATATGCTTTTAGTTGCTTAAAGGCACGCTTAAAGTTTTTGTCTTCCGACCTAGGCTTCGGTTTTCTTAGAGTTATGAATATTTATGTGTCTCCTAGTTTAGAATCCTTTAGATCTAGCTATTTAACATAAATTTGAGACGCCAAGACCATTTCTCTTTTTTCACCATTTTTTTTCATTCCACATGTCTGTATAGGGACTATCGCGCTATCTGGATAAAAGTATTAGAAAACTACAGATATGCGTGAAGAAACTAGCAGTTGGTAAATATTGTCGCTGCGTGTCGTGTAAATTTATTCTCTGTTTCTTTCCTTTAAATTAATCTGCCAATATAATTGTTAAATACAATAAAATTTATTTTACAATATTATTTGTACAGATTGAGTTTAACTTGGCAGATAAGTTAGCTCCTGTCGGCTATACAGGGTGAATCTTAATACCTGCCCCAGCCTTTTACCATGAGAAATAGATTACCGACTGCAATTTCAGTTCACCGAACGGTACAAGAGGGCAGCTGCTTAGATCTCATGCCCTTTCTACACCTAGGGATGATCCTACTTGTGGCTCATCCGATACCCCTTCTATACCTAAAGCTAATCCTACTTGCAGCTTATCCGAGGGAGTAGTATAAAGTGTAAAAGGGTACAGTGTAGTTGTACTTTGGTACGATTGGAAACGAACCAAAGTGTAAACCTTTTACACTTTATACTACTCCCTCGGATAAGCTACAAGTAGGATTAGCTTTAGGTGTAGAAGGGGTATCGGATGAGCCACAAGTAGAATCATCCCTAGGTGTAGAATGGGCATCATGGTAATGCCCATTCTACACCTAGGGATGATCCTACTTGTGGCTCATCCGATACTCGCTTCTATACCTAAAGCTAATCCTACTTGCAGCTTATCCGAGGGAGTAGTATAAAGTGTAAAAGGTTTACACTTTGGTTGGTTTCCAATCGTACCAAAGTACAACTACAGTGTACCTTTTACACTTTATACTACTTCCTCGGATAAGCTGTAAGTAGCTCGGATTAGCTTTAGGTATAGAAGCGAGTATCGGATGAGCCACAAGTAGGATCATCCCTAGGTGTAGAATGGGCATAAAAGGCTGGGGCAGGCATTATAATTGATTCACCCTGTATATCTGTAGAGGCATCTCAATCTTTCAGAAAAAAAAAGATTAGTCCGTTTCAGTCGATATTGCAGTTCAGTCCGGATTGAAATATGCGTTTGTATGTATATATTGTACATACATACACAATTTAACACAATAAATGTTATAAGTTAGCATCTATTTAGCATTACAACTAAAGATGTCTTGACATCTTCTATATAATTTATTAAATTGTATTTTTTTAATCTACAAGCAAGATGTGTCTTGTCAACATGACTTATTTTACTAAAAGAAGTTTTTGTATCATAGAAGATTTGTATCATAATTTTAACTAATATAAATTATCCTTTGCATAAGTATATTACAATTTAGTCGCAGTATCGTCTTAATGTAATTTTATTATTATAAAACGTCCTCTTAATGAATAGATGCGTTACAACTGCTACTATTTTTCATATTTTTTTATTTCATCTTTCTTAATATAATTTACAAAGTTGCTTAACTTCAATATAAATCTAAAAATATAGATACTGATATGAGGAATAAACTAATAACGTAGAAAATAACAGGAGATTGATCGCGCGCACGTTTGTGATTTTCGATGCAGGCGCTTGTACATAGTATATTGTACATTGAATATATCACTTTACATTAAATCGTGTCGCAAAACACACCAAAAATGCCTTCTTGCATCCTTTCTTCGCTTCCTGTCGTTTCTTCTTCTTCGATTCTTCTTCTTTTTGCGCTCTCGTTATCGCTATCACACTCGCTTTCAGACATACGTACAATTTTATCTTCTTTCTCGCGTATACGAATAAAAAATTACATTTCTGTTTGAAACATAGATTACTAACATTTATTTTAAGTAATATCTGGATGGACTTTTAGCACGTAATTTAACTGCGCTACGCTCATACGCAACTTTCATACATAGTCGTTGTAACTTGAACACGTGATACAATCTTGTTGTTAACAATTATTTTATAATTGTGTCCTAATTAGTATTATAACGTCTGAATTCCACATGTTTGGAAAATTCGTAATATATCTAAAGTAATAATTACATTATTACTAATAGTAATAATTACATTATTATTATTATTACATATATAAAACGTTACGCAAATAGTCTCATGTACATTTACTCGACTATTCGAATGGCGAATGTAAAATATTACATATCAACTATTTATAAAATTCATGTAATTCCTTTCACGATATATCGCTGCCATTACAATATCTCTTTGAAATAAATAAAATTAATTTACTAAGAACAATAAGAAATTAGATTTGGAATATTTAACTGTAATAATTTTCGAATTTGTTTAACACATGTTGTACTCACGAACATTTATAATTATCATATTATAAATATTCTTGAGGAATGCAGAATTGTATTTAATTTATTTCTAATAATTTTGTGCAAGATGAAGCGAAATAACTGTGGAAATAACTATTCGCTTTCAGACGATACTTAATAAAAATATAAAATTTTTAATATTTAAGAACATCTATATACTTAAGAAAGACAATATATTGCTATTAGTAAATATTTATTTGAAGCATGTACCGTCGTGGTCAGAAAGATTGTCCGACGTTTTAGAATAAGTTTTCGGAATATTCGTATGTATCATTGCATAGATATTCGTACATATCATTCCTTTGCTCTAATAATACGCCACTGCATATATCCGTGAGCATGATAGACGGTATTTCCGAAATTTATCATAAAACGTCGGACAACTTTTCTGACCACGACTGTACATTAAGTTTGTACCTGATATTGTAGTATTTTTTCATGCGTAACGTGGATTAACACATAGTTGGTCAGATTATTCGAACATTCGAACGTCGAAATTTTATTTAATCACAATGGACATTTTAAAAACGGAAAGCTATTCTAAACTGTATATTCGAGGGATCGCTCTTACATGTGGTTTCTTTCAAATCCATTGGAAAGAAGGTATACCTTTGTGTTGGAGGCGTTGCAGGCAGAGCCTAAAAGGATCGCCTCTGCGGTCGGAGGTGTACAGTTTGGGTCTCACAAAAGGACCATTAACGCTTCTTCGCGTCTAGGGTATAGAAAGAGAAACGGGGGCCGGGGAAGAAAAAAAATATCGATATTCGTCTAGGAATATTTTTAGAAGAGGAAAGCAACAGCAACAGCAGCAGTAGTAGCAGGGAGCAGGTATTTCGCGCGCGGATCGAGCAGGTACAAAGCTGTATTGCACCTGCCACGGTGGCACAGGCGCAGGTTATTACCCCGACCGCAAAATTTGCATTATCCCCTCTCTCGAGCAACTGCAGGACAAAAGAATACTTCGCCGTAGTCGCAGTTTCCTTAATATCCTCTGGACTTATTTTTTGCGTAGTTATCGCGTCGCACGCGAAGAACTACCGTAGCTTCGACAACTGTAGCACGAAGCGAGAGCACCTAGATTTAGCGACAAACTATTAAGGCACATTTTTGGTATGTGTTTTGTTTAACCATCTCCATTCCTAGGAAATTACTCGTTAATGTTACATTCAAAATTACATAAAAATATAAATGTCTTTTTGATATGATTTTTTTAAATTATCCCGTTTAACACATATAATTCATCTTTCTACGCTATTTATTTTGCGTATAAAAAGATAATCATCGAGAGTGAAAAAGTTAAGAATTTTTCCAAGTTTCTAATAACTATTTTAGAATCGCGCACGCATTTTTGAAAGTATTATAAAGATTTTTTTTTTAGGATCTTGTCTCCCTATATATTTAAACTTTCTCATGACCTCATAAATAAAACATTGCAATAACACGTGCATAAATAGTGTGCAAAGTTTTCAACAAATTCAACAAATCATCAGCCGTATTCGTACGTGCCATATTCTTCTCCGAAAGTATCGTGGAATTTGTGGAATCTTTAGAAAAGCTGTATTCTTTGTGAAGACCGGTACCTCTCCTTCGTGTAATCCACAAAGCCTACGAGAAAGAAATGCAAGCACAGGAAAACTACCTGCGACAAATTTCTATCGGCCCATTATATCTGCAATTGTGAAGCCCTGGCGTGCTGGCGTGGGTCTAGGTGGTGGTGGTGGTGGCTGTGGTGTTGGTGCTCTCGGTGGTCTAGCTATTTCCTTGTCACGTTCCCTGTTACGCTCTCTTTCTCTGTTCTGCTCCATCTCTCGTTCTCTCTCGCGTCCACGTTCTTGAAGCTCTAGAAATACTCTGGAAGGACCTGGTGATTCAAGTCTTCGTCGGTACGAGGTCAAAATGAGTGTCGATGGCGGTGGGAGCGCGGTCGGTGGATTCTGGGTGACGGAATGAGCTGCAGGTGCGCCGCTGGTTACTGTCGACGTCTTCACGGCGGGTAATAGATCCCTTCTGATCTGAAGTTGAGGTCTCTGAGGAAGAGGTGGTGCCGAGGCCGATACTGTAGGCGCAGGCGGCGGCGCGGAAGCTCCTTGGGGAGGGTATCCGGACGAAGTGGAAGACGCAGAAGACACGGCCGGTGTTGTGGCTGTCGACGAAGAAGATGGCCCGGGCTCAGGGCAATCCTCCTCGGGGCTGTCATCGTCCCTCAACGCCTCTTCCAATGCCTCCGGAGGAACATCGCCCACGGCATGTGTCAATGCATGTCTCCTCAGATCACAGTTTCTACGAAATACTTTGCCACACGAGGTACATTCGTAAGGCTTGTGGTCTGTGTGCGTTAGGAGATGAGTCTTGAGATTGCTGCGCTGGTTAAAACTTCTCGCGCAAACGGGACATTTGTGCGGCGATTCCTCCATGTGCAAAATCTTGTGAACCGCCAGAGTACGGCTCTGGCAAAAGCCCTTACCGCACTCGCCGCATTTAAAAGGCTTCTCCTTGCTGTGGATATACCTAAGAAAAGAAGATAAAAATCAGGATGATAATTAACAAATGAAAGATGCACATTCCAATTTGAAGCTTTAAGACTTTATGTATTTTAAAATATACTTCATACGTTTGACGTTTACTTTGTTGACTTTATTGCAGATGTTTAATGTTGTAAAACAAACGATTACAAGAATGCAATAAAAAATTCAAGTGAGTTAATAAAATTGAAAGCTAATTACTTCATTTCGATGAATTGATTAATCTAATAAAGAATAATTTATTATACCTGTGGTCTCTGAGATGATCTTGCCGCCTGAAGGCCTTGCCGCAAATGTCACAGGAGTATGGCCTCTCGTCGGTATGAGTTCTCTCGTGAATGAGAAGATTATAGGATTTTGTGAATTGTCGACTACAGAATTTACAAATGAACTGTTTCTTCGGTCTGGATGCTCTGCCGGGTGCTCTAAGTAACCTCCGATCCAGATGCTGATGGGCCAACGGACCACCCGGTGGATACAAGGCGGAACTACCAGGAAAAGGACCGCCAAAGACTGGATAACCAGGCGGTTCGAGGAGAGGATGCGGTGGTAGTAAAAGACCTCGCGCTAGTTCCTTCCTTTTGTCGACCATCATCGCCATGATGTCGTAACTCGAGGAGCTCTTTCTGGCTACTGAAGACTCGGGCCCGACTTCGTGTTCCGCATTTGTCGTCGACGAGGAAGAGGGCGGTGGGCCGGGTAAATGGGGATGCATTTCACCTGGATACGGGGTGAGCTGTAATCTTGAAGGCACCACAGGCACGAAGGCTGACGATTCTCGGTGATGAGCATGGCCCAGACCGGTCACCAAACTGTGGCGGTGATGATGATAAGCGGCAAGTGTGCTAGATGGATCGAATCCTCTCGAGGTCGATGCCACATTGGAATTGGAGGACGACGCGGCTGCGGAAGAGGGACCTGATCTTGGAGACTGTCCAATGCCCAGGTCTCGACTTCTGCTCGTCTCCTCTGAAACTGTGGCCGAGGCCGATGTGACTACGATGTCGGTTGGCATAGCGATTGTACCTGAGAGACAGGATCAATTTATACATTATTTACATTAAAAATTAAATTAACATGATATATATAAAATCAGGTATCTATTCCGCGGTGCAAGCGGTTCTTAAGACGTCTGCTTAATTATTTTACAAAATTTTATATTTTTTGAAAAATATTAGATTAAAATGCCACGAGCATTTACAAGTGTAATCAAGTAAATGAAAAATATTATATAATTTTCAAAAATTGTTTTCCAAACTGAGTTTTAAGACAATGCATGGCACGTGGGACTTTGGAAACGGTATATAAAAATTCACACATTGTACCATTGGACCACTCACATCCCGCTTGGATGTAGTGGCTTTATTATTGCACAGCGAATTTTTTGAAATAAATTAATTGAAATTATCAATTAAAATTGATGCCTTTTCAGAGTGTTAAATATAGAAAAATGATATATGCACGTATACACAAAAACTGCATATAACGTGATATATACATGTAAGTAATAAATATAAAGATGAAGACGCAGTCAAAGGACTCTGATAAAAATATTGTTTATTCCATAAAAAGCTGCAAATGTTACGAAAATGTTGAATTTTTCATACGTTTCCTTCTCCACTAGCAATCTCTATAAATCTATATAAAAGTTAAAAATTCAGACAGAAAATAATATATAATAGTAACACGGGAAGTCATTATTTTAATTCTGCATTATATATTTGCGCAATATTATGAGTTGTCACTTCTCTTTATAAATGTTGTTACATACATGCAACATAGTATACTCGTCTACGCCGAGTTCGTACAAAACTAATAATATTGTAAATCCACGTGGACGTAAAATGAAATAAAACCGGCGGACTAAAGAACGCGTTAATGTTAGAGGATATCTACCGAGAGGGGAGAAACCCATTAAGAACTGTTTTCTCGTGTCGTCGTCAAATGACGGCGCTATCATATGATATTTTATCAGTTGACATTGAAAACCCTAACAGCACAGAAATATTTTAAAAGATTCGATATTATTTTAAAATATTTATAAAGTATTTTAAGAAGATTGTAAAATATATTTAACCTTTTAAAATATTTCTGTGCTATTAGGGAAGTGACACAGATTTCTTTAGTAACTAGATATAGATTTCTTTTATTACAGGCCCAACATTCCTCGACACTCGATTCTTTACGTGTTTACCGAGGGGAAAACCGCTGGCCAAAATTTCGCACACCAATGCCCAAGTAATGCTCAGAGGGCATTACTATTTTATTTTATTTTGTCATATTTTATCTTATTTTATCATTATTGTGCCCCAGCAAGGCCCAATGCCCAAACTAATGCCCAACAAATGTCTAGTGATGCCCAGTAATGCCGAATTATGTAGACCGTTTTTCCCCCTCGGTGTTTACAGACAGATCTTATATTCAAGACCGTCTCGGATTTATCTGTAGGTGCTGTATGGAACATTTTATCGGCTACACGGAGTATCTAAAGATGATCCTAAAGCCCGTATCAGACTACGGACTGGGATTGGGATTAGATTGAAATTTAACCAATCACAGTAAAGTTTACTAATCTCAAGTTCAGTAACTTTTACTCTGATTGGTCAAATTTCAATCTAATCCCAATCCCAATCCGTAGTCTGATACGGGCTTAAGGCAGTCTTGAATTCAATATCTGACCAAGAGTCCCGGTCAAAGAGTCCACGTAACGTCGCGATCGGCGGCTTCTTCGCGGATTTGACGTCGAGGGAAGCGCCCGGTGTGCCAGTCGCGGGGCTTTCGTAATCGTGGCAGAAAACGGGCACGGGCGACGTTTAACGAGCGCGCCGCTGCTTTTTCTTTTCTTCTCGTTTTATCAACGATATCTCCCGTGCTCGCTTTGCGCTTGCGAAATCGC